AAGATTGGTATTTTGTTTCTATGTTAGGAAGAACCTAGACAATCTTTTTAGCTAACACAAAAGGTGTGTACAAGTACAATACACTTAGTCCAGTAAGAAATGTTCACTCTGAGGTAGGTATAGGTACCTACTAAAGTAAAAAATAAAAATAACTGTGTAGAGATCACATTCTACATTAATTTATTGAATTATAATAACATAATAATATTAGTTTAATATTAGTTAGGTACCTTTTCCTACTAAATAGTTATTTTAATTTGTTTAAATTAAATAATATAATATAATATTTAAATTAATATTATATTATTAAATTAAATTTAATTATTTGATAAATGATAAAAAAAGCGGGCAATTTGAAATGGGCCAATGAGAACGTGGTATACATAAGAAGACGCTCTTTGGCGTCCTGCAGGGTTTCCTAATGCGCCACCCGGAACCATGGTGCACCAATGCACCATGATGCATTTTGCCATTTTGGTGCACCAAAAGTCAACCGATCGATCCCGGACATATTTTATAATTTTGTATTAATAAATCATGGTCTATATTTTATAGTATAGACCTGCAGTAGTTCTCAACCTTTTCTGATTCATGTCACCTTTGGCCACTAGAATCAAACACTGCGTCACCCTAACATCAAAATAATAAACAATCTCAGCTGTATATTTTAAAGATACGAACTTTGAGGTATGTTATGTACATGACAGTGGTGGTATAGCCGGTATAGGTGTATAATATTATTTTTATTATAAGCAGGGATACAAGGGGGGATGTGGAGGTCAGTCGTCAGATCCCCCCATAGGTCTTTTTTTTAATTTTATAAAATAGTGTTCATAATGACTTAATGTAAGGAAATTACAAGGGAAAAAAATAGCAAGGATTTTTTGTAAATTTTTATTTTAACACATTCAACAATTAATTAAAAATAATTTACTTAATATTATCAGTCATCATATATTTATTCAGAGCCGAGTTACAAATGTGGAATGTAAACCTCAAAAGATTGAATATACAACCCAAAACTGGATAGGATGCACTAAAATACTGCAGTGAACTTATTTATCCTAATTTATCAAAATTATTTAGAATATTTTGTACATTACGCCCTTGTCTACTGCTACACCTGAGAGAATGTTTTCATGTTTAAAAAGGTTAAAGACCTACTTAAGAAACACTATGAAAGAGGTATATTCTATGAAAACAATATAAATACATATTTTTTATTGTTATTAGTTACTTATTTTGTATAAATTATTTAATTTTTTTTGTTATAGGAGCGATTAAAATATGGCCTCACTTTAATGGCAGTTCATAGGAACATTCCTATCAGTGCTGAAGAAGTAATTGATGAATTGACTAAAAAAAAAGAAAATTAAATTTTGTTCTATAATTACTTGTAGAATTTAAAATAAAATGTATTGAATATATATGTTTTATCATTTATTAGGTATTTAAATGTGCACATACCTAGGTTTAGGTATTTTCGTTCCATAATAATTTGTTTGCAACTGATCCCCCCCCACATACAAAAGTTATGTATACGCCACTGATAATAAGAAATAATATGATTGTTTTCGAAAAAATTAATTTTTTTAATTTTTTTCTATTCTTGTTAAAATTCTGCGTCACCCCTAAGCTAGATCCATGTCACCCCGGTTGAGAACTACTGGTATAGACTATATTTTATAGTATAGACTCTATACACTGATTATACACTATTAATTATGATATTGATATAGTCAAGGTAAACTGTAAAGTCATAAACATGATGTACAGAATATTTTATTTTTGCGATAAGATCTATGAAAATTATTAAGTGGGTAATATATATTAGTTATTACTATTAGTAATACCTAACTAAAACTAATAACTAATAGGTAATACACATTACTAGTTCATTATACTGCCACCCTTAGTACTTAAGCTTAGAATTTTAAATTTTAAAAATTGTTTAGGTCCAAGAATAACTGTTTAATAATTAATCACTAGAATAATCAATGGTTGTAGGAACTTGTCGATTGCTTAGTAAATAATTCAGTGTTGGGAAGGAACGCGTTCCTTTTATAGGAACGAAGCTCGGAACGCGTTCCATTTAAAATATAGGAACGAGGAACGGGAACGAGTTCCTATTTTGAAGGAACTTGATCGAAAATTTCCGTTCCTCAAATAATGAAAAAAGAATATATAAATATATTTATTTTTAACACGTTGAACGTTGAGTGCCACAGTATATTTTATGAAGCGCATATAGTGTGTTTCCGCGCCAAAACTGAGCCGCGACGCCGTCGGTCGACTACGTGTCGTGTTCCGGGTCGTTGTGGGAGTGAGTTAACCGATTTCAGTGGTGGTCAATGGTGTTTTTTGCGAAAAATTTTTAAGTCAGAAATAATCGGTTAACTCTCTCGGTTCGATTATTTCTGACTTAAAAATTTTTCGCAAAATACACCATTGACCACCACTCAAATTGCAAAAAAAGGAACATGAAGGAACGGGAACGCGTTCTTTTTTCGGGACAGGAAAGAGGAACGGGAACGAGTTCCTTTCTTACAGTAGGAACCAGGAACGGAAACGAGTTCCTTTTTAAAAGGAACTTTCCCAACACTGGTAAATATGTAGTACCTACAAATTTCTTGAGATGTAATAACTACTTTTATAACATTCTGGATTCACAAACTTGAAGATTATGGGATTAATAAAGGTATTTACAGCTGCTTACTACAAAAATATTTACTATAAAATTGGTTAAACTGGTTAAAGATAGAAAATGATGACTAACTAGGAGTTATATAGGTGTCAAGATGACTCACAAAAATACATCTTAAATGATAGCAGGATCGATAAAACAAACTATATAGTGCACCAGTTTGGATTTTCCGCTATTTTTAAGGAATAAATGAAGATTTATTTGTAAAATAAATCAAATGACCAAACATTTTTTTCTAATTCTTATACTAAGAAAGTAAGGTAGGTACATACCAACCAAAAGATAAGCCAAAATTATAAATTAAAAAAAACTAATTTAGTATTTTAAAAACACTATAAATTAAAAGTCTTTTCAAATTATTGTAAAACTGGAACATTATTATTTATAAGTGTAAAACATACAGTTTTCGATTCCACCGAAACCTCACTATACATATTTTGAAAAAGTTAAAGTTAATTTTGTTGGTTCCAAAACCAAATCATTTTATTTTGCTCGAAGTAGTTTTAGTTATTATAATTATAAGTAATAATGTAATATTAGTTCTATAATGGAGTTATGCCGTTGATTCTATATCAAAAACGTGATTTTGTTTAAAAACTTGAATATTATACATTTCTTTCAGTGAAATAAAACAAAGTTGGGGGGGACGGTGTAGCCGAGGGGATAAGGCGTCGCGCGTCGGTTGCGACGCGCACCGTCGCCGGTTCGAACCCAGTTACCGGTGATTTTTCGCTCCGGGAAAGTCATGATTTCTGGAGCGAAAGGCCGCCATCCCCCCACCGGGGCATGGCAGAAACCTACGGGTGCCCCATTAGAAATTCTACCACCACAACACACGTGTTTCAACCTTACCGTTCCAAACCCCACAAAAAACCCCACAATCAGCTAATGGCCATAGTCGCAGGGCTTAATAGAGATCAATTAAAAAAAAATAACAATATTGAATATAGATATACCAGGACCGTATACTATAGTGCTATATTATGAAATCTATCATCTACCACGAGCAGCGTGAGCAGGTTGTAAACACCTAATAATTATATGAACCCGAAAAGTCATAACTTATATCACCCAAAAAATATAGTTTAAAATTTTAATGTTGTAGATCATATCTAGGGGCGAATAATCACCTAATCATTAGGTTCTAATGTAATTTGATCTTAAAGTAATTACAATTAAGTGGATAAACCGAAAAATAAAGATTTTTAAAAACACCAAGCACTGCGTATTCAAAGCAGACGCTGGGTGCCAGGACGACGTTTTTACAGCACCCGGACGGGGGATTAGATTTTCCGTAAAAAGGAGAAGGGTACAAATTTTTTAATACAAAATTATAAAATATGTCCGGGATCGATCGGTTGACTTTTGGTGGTTCCGGGTGCCAGGACGACGGTTTTACAGCACCCGGACGGGGAATTTGGTTTTCCGTAAAAAGGAGAAGGGTACAAATTTTTTTAAGGAGGGTTCAAATGGATACAAATCGGGTACAAAAAAATGAGATAGGTAAGGGGGGATTATGATGATTGATGACTTACAGGTGCCAGGACGACGTACCTGAAAACCACTTCGTCATGCCACTAATTAGGACTGAATTCCTCGGTAATGTTTAAATATATTTTTTGATTGTTAGGTAGGTATGTCGTATACGTATACAATATCGAATACTTAGTAAGAAAAAATCATTGTAAAGCCCTCAACTGGTGATGATAGTTCACTAACTTTAACTAACTTTAGCAATTCTTAAGGCGCTTAACCCTACTCTTGTATAAGTAGGTAGTTGTTTACAACTTATTTAAGTAGGATACCTAAGTATAGTTTTAATACATTGTGGGTAAATAGGTATATGTAAGTAGCGAATAAAAAGTGTTGGTTGATGGTTGTCGATTGTCAAATTGAGCGTTTGATTCCGAAGTTGAACTTTTGATGGTAACTTTTGACATAATGACAATCAGACAATGACATGTGATTAAAACATGGAAGTACCTATGGCAAAAATTCTTATCACTAAACTATTAGTCACTATAAAAAAAAATTGCATGTAATATTTGTTCTGTGATAATATGTTCTCTCCTGTGCTATTAATTTTGTGATAACTGATAGCCGACATTAACACTAATCACGATTGTCTATATTTTGTTATTTGCTAACCCGAGTTTCATTTTCATTTAGTCAGTTAGTCTTTATCTTACACAAATTTTTTTTTTTTTAATTTGATTCGTTTACAAATTTAAGTCTTTAAAAACGTCGATACTTGAACAGTTGAACACATTTATCACGAACTTCCTTGTATTTAGAAATGGCTGGGTGTTCTAACTGGGACATCCAAAATGTCGATTCTGACAATATACCAACCACTTTGCAGGTATTATTTTCCATTCGAGTGTCATTTAAATAAAGTTTAATACCATTTTTTATGCTTACGATGTAGAGATCATCTTGTTGTTATGTGTGCAATGGTTATTATGGATCATGTTTTGACGAACAAATTTGTCAAACATGTCATTTGTTTCTTTTTTCTGAAGAGCTCACACAAGCTGTCCAAGAAGATGTGCATAACACAATGGTAATAAAGTCAGTTTGATACAATAATATTATTCATTAATGAGATATACAAATTAAATGTGTATGGTAGGTAACAAATAAATATTAATTTTAGACTAGTCTATTGTCGTGCAATGTGTATTACTTGTACGGTAAATGGGTGTTTTGTCCCATCAATTTTGAGTATGTTACTGTTTCGTGCCCAAAATATATCATTTATATGTACTATTATAATGGCATGACGACATTTGGTTTTAACTATTTTTAGTTATATTAAATACCATAGGGTATACAATTATAAATCTGATAGTGAATATTAATGTTTCACTACCTATTATCTGTAATAAATACATTATACAATACACAATAATACAGTAGAGTTTGTAATTCAACATATATTATATGGGACTCGAGAATTGATCAATCGAAGCTAAACTGCTAAAAGTGCTTTAATGTTGTGTAGTTTTTGGTATGGTATGCTCTTGAAACAAATCTAAATAAAATATTATCAGCTTGATACTTGAAATAAATTTGATAGGTTGTTGGATTAAAACGAGCTGTAATCATCAAAATAATTTCTTTTTTATGACATCAAAACTGAACGAAATAGAATACTTCTATTTGCTTCAGTAAAATAGTAAACATATATTTTATTGATGGAATTGCTACATGTCCAAAACACTTCTACTAAATATATATTATACATACCACTATGGTCACTTAAAGTATTCCATAAGTATATGCTTTATAGTTAATAGTTATACATTTTTATTTATTATTATTTTGCCATTAAACATACTTATCTATAACTATTATAATATTTTTAATATTAACTAAAATAATAATTTATATGCTTATAATAACTTAAAATAAAAAATTAAGAAAGAAACAGTGCATCTAATGTTGATGAAAAGACTTAAATTCTACTTGTACATACTCCAAAACACCAGTGCAACTATTTTTTTTTTTTTTTTTGTTTATTAAATGTTTTATTCAATCTGTTACACAAAGAACAATAAGAACAATTGATGAATAATAAAAGTAACAAAGTAGATACAACAGATCGTAGAAGTCTCCCATTGGAGGTACTACGTTAAAGAGAAAAAAAAAACATGAGTATTAAAGAAATTTAATTAGTAAACCTATAAATTTATAGGTTTCTACATCATTTGCATTTTAGCCGTTTAGGAGGATTTCCAGGGATAGTCAAGGAAGGAATATCATGCATGAGTGGGTTTCTATGGTTTAAGAGACGGTTGTGAAATCTTTTGTAGTGTGTTTCAGCCACATCTGCAACAAAGGGTATGGATAGGTTGTGATGTAGTGTGTGGTTGGAAATTAAATATGGTGCTTTAGTGATTTGTCTTAGAGTTTTAGATTGATAGGTTTGTATTTTATTGGTGTTATTAGGCTTTGCTGATCCCCAGAGCTGTATACCATAGACCCATATTGGTTTTAGTAGCATTTTGTATATAAGGAGTTTGTTATTCAGATGAATATGTTTGGAGGTCAGTAGGTTTCTTAGTTGGCGGCTACGATCGTTAAGCGTTAAATGTTTGGAGCGTATATGAGGGGCCCATGTAAGTCGGCGGCCTAGGGTTAGTCCAAGGTATTTGACATTTTGAGAGTAGGGTAGGGGTTACCAGTGCAACTATGGATTTTTAATTATAAGGTGAATGGAGTAAGCAATATAATATTTTAAATAATATATAAACTTTTTAAAATAATTAAAATTAATACTTATCAATTGACGATCAGTTTATAAGGATAAAAATATATTATCCTAGAAGTAACAGAAGTAGCCTAAAAATGTATAACTTTTTTGTTAATACATACCTACTTCTTAACACGTTGACTGCGTATGTGTTTTTGCAGTTTTCCCCCAGTGCGTATGATAAAAGTAAAAACAAAAGAAATTAAAAAAAAAATATAAAGAAACTGCTCATAACGATGTATGTATACATATTTAAAAACATGCGTTTAATCCACGCTAAATAATAATAAAATAACATTCAGCCACGCGTAGGGAATTTTAAACGATTTATTTTAAATGTATATTAGACGCCATATGGCGTCAAACGCGTTGCTGAATGATACTTATGACGCCAATTGGCGTCAGTACGCAGTGAACGTGTTAATGGATATTGGAAGAGACTTATGGATATAGTCAATTTTGAAACAAACTATTTCAAATTACTTTTTACTCCTTTAAGTGTTTCTATGAAACGGTAGTTAATAAGTAATTTGTAAAACAGTACAAATTATTACTTGAAATTGGACCAAGTACCTGATGTGTTCTAAATTAGGTCCATGGCATATTCATAAAAGCATATTAATGTTTTTTTTTCATAGTAATTGTTTTAATAGTATGTATTTTATGCATTGTTTAAAAAATTTAATTATGTTTTCAAAAACACATTCTTTCATAACACGACTTAACAAGAGGATATCAGTGCACCATTTGTCATCTCTCTCACCTACGCGTCATATAGCAAATCTATGTTTAGCAGAACCAACCCTGTGTTATTACTTTTAATATTAGAGTGAATTTACTATTATAATATTTTAATTTAAGAACTTTACCTACCTGTGTTACTACATTGGATTTTTTTACTATACTTAAATTTAAAACTAAAATATAGTAAAATAACCAATGCAGTGACACTGGTAATGTTCTTAACTTAAAGTTTGGTAATAGGTGAATTCACTATAATGCTAAAAGTAACAACATGGTTAATTCTGCTGAATATAAATTTACTATGTAACTCGTGGATCAAAGAACAAAGAGAAAACATAGGTTGAAGTATGATTTTTGGGTGTGATAAAATTAGTTCACTGATTTCCTCATACGTTGTTATCTTATTATTACATTTTGTCAAAATTGTTTTATAATAAATATGTGATTGATTGAATATTAAGGGAGTTGAGGATGGTGATAGTGGAAATGATGAACCAGCAGATATATTTTATAATGGCTTTCAACGACCTGTTCAAGATGTACCACTTGACGCACGTGAACAAGCTGCTCCATCACAAGATCTTGCGCGGCGACTTCAGTTACTATCAGAATCATCAGCTCTGCGTTCTCAACCCTTTGATGATGATAGTGATTATTTCCAAGAACTTCCTCCTGAAGGTATATTTTTTATAGTCTATATCAGTGGTTCTTAATCTATTTAGGACCGAGACCCAAATGTATCCCCAAAAATCTACTGTGACCCACACAGTTTATTTACAAGATTAAAAATTAGTTCTAAAAACAAAATTTGATTACTATTATTATAACTTATTACTTTACTAATTCATAAATTATTATGAATATGATGAATACATTTCTTAGTATCTATGTAATTCAAAAAACTTCCCACGACCCACGATCCACAGTTTGAGAAACGCTGGTCTATATCCGTATTATGATATTTATTTATATAATAATGCTCAAATATTTATAATTTTTGACAGTGTTATTGACTGTATTTTCGTATTTGGACGACTTCAGTTTGTGGTGTGTAAGTAAGGTATGTACACGTTGGAACCAATTGTTACGTTCACATATCCCACAAACATGGCGTAGGTTTGTAGTTAATTGTTGGCCTCTTTACCAGCCATTAAAACCTGTTGATGATTGGCTTTCAGTTAGTTCAGCTCTGTGAGTATGGCACTTTGTTATGTTGATAAAAAAAAATTTAAAAATAGATTATTTTTAATAAATGTTTATTTGTTTCGTTTGTTAGATTTAGCAGTTCATCATGCTTATTGTGTATACGTCGAATGTATTATCGTCCACATGCTGAATGTCAAGAAAATTCATGGAGAAGAAGGCGATTACGACATGAAGTTAAAAGTTAGTATTTGTAATTTTCTTTTATATAAAATTAATAAATCATAAAGCTATTTTATGAATCTAAGGTTTTAGTCTAGTTTTGACTGTAAAAGCAGAAATATTATAAATATAATGTTAAAATCATACCCCAATAATTATTTTAAATCAGAATTTTTTTGGTCATAAAAAAATTAAAAATGTGCGTGAACTATAATAAAATTATAACACAATTTTTTTAATTATTAAATTTATTTATTCCTTCAAATCTAACTAATAATCATTTGAAATTGAACACATTCAAATAACAAGTGCAATATAAAAATGTATTTCAAAGCTACACTATTTGACATACCTCTTAGAAAGCTAGAAGATCTAGTATATGATTAAACGTTAATGCAGTACTTTCATATGTATGAAAAACAATTTATTTATACATATTTGATTTTATTAGCAAAACGTATTCACATACTTTTTATGTATCTACCAGTATTAAAGTAACTAGTATACTTGTCTATGGTATAAGCTAAGTCAAATATATATGAGATACACTCCTATTTTGTTATACAATTACAAACAAAATGAATTTTCATCATAGCATATATTTTTATTTTATTGCTTTAGTATCTGATCTCCATATTTTATATTTTTATATATCAAATGAATGTCGCTATTATATTTTTGTTTAGATTTAAAGACTGATCCACCAGAAGGAATCAGAGCAATATCTTTGGACAATCATTGGTGTCACTGGCAAGCCACAATTTTAGGACCAGCTGGTAGTCCTTTTGAAGGAGGGAAATTTTTTCTGTATATTCAAATACCTTATGGGTAAGTTTAGTTAATCTTACTAAAATAATATTCAAAACTACTAGTAATTTTAATTGTTATTTTTATTAGCTATCCAATGACTCCTCCAGTGGTTAGATTTGTGACTAAAATATTTCATCCTAATATTTCTCGTCACGGAGATATTGGACTTGATTCACTCCATTATAATTGGAGCTTAGCATTGACCATTGCTAAAGTATTGATTTCTATTCAGTCGCTGCTAACTGATCCATTTTGTGATGTATGCATGGAACCTGACATTGCAAAGCTCTACAAAAATGATCGACACACATACAATACTATTGCACGATATTGGACTCATCGATTTGCTATGAACGATATATTAACCTGGACTAATTAAGTAATTTATTTTTCATTATTTTATTTCCCTCTTATCACATACAAAGATCTGGTTGCCAATTACCTTATTAACATCTTGAACATAGCTTGTAAAGCAGCGTTAATAAAGTTATACTAAACTTTAAGAAGGATAAATATCAGTAAAGTTATGTAATATGTTATGACAGTGTGAAAAATATATTCTTTTTTTTTTTGATAAACATAAGATTTGAGTTTGTTATAATTTTTATTTATAGCCCAATTTATATGTCTAAACTAATGTATTATAAAGTATATTAATGTTAAAATGTAAAATAAAATAGTTTTAAAGATATTAATATGACCACCAAATTAAATTCGAAGTCAAAATGGAAGTTGAACAACATCTCAACTCATGTAATGTATGAAAAACACAAAATGTACTTATTTTTGTCTTGATATATTTTAATTTTTAATAAACATTTTGTACAAACTACATTGTTATGCAAATTTATTATGAATGATAGTAAGAAGTTATTGTATGCAAGTCCCTCCTCCAAAACTCACTTCATTAATAGGCGTGTTTTGGCGGAGTAAACTGTTTAGTAAATAAGTTTATGGTTATAGAATAGGGTTAGAAAACGTTTACTGGAACGCCAAAACAATTGCTTGAACATTTTGTTTACTGAAATATTTGATAACATTGGATATCATAAATTTTTTAGTAACCGAATCTCAGTAAACCTTTTTACCAAGTCGAAATCGACGGTTAGAAAATTCACTAAACACGTTCACGAAATTAGTTACCTGGTTACAGTAACCGTAATCGCGAAAACGATATTAGTAAACAGTTTACTAGCGGTTGGCGCCGGTTACACCGCCAAAACACGCCTAATGTTAGGTAGATCATTCCTATTGTCAAAATAATATTGATAAATGATAATATTATATGTCATTCCTAAAATGTAAATCCAACAGGCATGTGTTTACAACATCTTGATCACACAATTAATAGTTTCCTTTCTCCTTTCTCTAGGCATTCTAAGTTTGCACATAATGAGAAATCGCATCAGTGACTGGGTATTTAAAATTTATAACTGAGGAAAAATAGTAAAATAGTTTTCATTAATTATTTCTAGATTCAAAGTACAATTGCAAAATTATATATTACAACCTTTATATATAAAATTACTTGTCCTGAGTGATTCATCATCGCCTAGCCGGAATCGCTGAAAAACGCATGAAATTTGGACAGTAGTTTTGTTTTGTGATGTAGACCCACTAAGAAAGGATTTTTCAAAATTCAACTCTTACAGGGGTTGAAAGGGGTAAAAAATATAAAACAAAAAAAAATCACCTAGCCGGAACCGCTGAAGCTATAAGTATTAAATTTAGTTGGTAGTTTCGTTTTATGATGCGGAAATTCCCTAAGAATGGATTTTTTCAAAATTCAGTCCCTACTGGGCTTAAAAGGGGTGAAATTGGTAAGAATGAAAAAATCACCTAGCCAGAACCACTGAAGCTATGAGCATGAAATTTAGACAGTAGTTTCATTTTATAATGCAAAAACCCCTATGAATTGAATTTTTAAAATTCAACCTTACAGGGGTTGTTAAAAGGGGTAAACATGATGTGACCTAACCCAGTATACTGTTCGAATAACCATAAGCGAGACTCACGGGAAAATCCACGAGAGATGGCTAAAAATTAAAATATAATACGATTTAGCTTTGATATGCATAGAGGTGACAGCGAATTACACCTAAAAGGAGTTAATTAATCAACATTTTTTTCAGAGCAACGCCAGGCTATTCAGGTAGTAGTATATAAATGTATATTGCTAGTTGCTACAATTACTATGATCTGGAATATAATGATGACAAAGATACAAGTGAAGAAAAAAATTGTTCTCATAATATTTTTCACAATCACTATCCCCAAATAAAAATTATGCATTTAATTTTTTAAGTTAACAGCACAAAATTCAAAATAAACATTCATACTAGAAATAAAATATTCAAAGAATAATATATTTTATAGTTGTATTAATATTTAATACTAAACCTCTATTTGACTCATGACATACATAAATTATTAAAATATTTTATAATATGTAGACACACAGTTTTAACTGTAAAAAGGGTTGTTATATGAAAAAAAAAACAAATTAGCGGTTTTTATGTTTACGTTACTATAATTAAGTAGAAAAAATATTTAATTTTACATGTTTCAAAAGCCTATAATGTAATATGTTTAAGGCATAAAACAAAATTAACAATAGTTTACAAATAATGTACATGACAAAATAAACAAAAAAATTAAACAATACAACAAATGGAATAAAAATATTTAACAATATTTACTTTACTATAGTTAAAATTGTTTTGT